GTGATGTGATGCTGTAAGGTATTTCACAGAAACATTGGCATAACTCTCTGCGTTGCTCAACTATGAGCTGAATAAAGGGAACTAATTAAATTTGCTTCCAGTCTTCACCAAAAGCAGTGTTAGAAACAAATATCACCACCCATAATCCAGACCAATATACACTAACTGGGGAAGTGCAGAAGAGGATCAAGTGGCAACATCAATACCTTAAGCAAAAATTGCCAAACAATTTGCAACCCCACTATAAAGCTCACACTGCATTAAGTGAATCCTTACACAAAAGTTCAGGCTTCCTCAAGTTTTAAAGCAGACACAGCACTAACTATTCACACAAGGAGCATATAGAGTCTTATGTGCTATAAACTCACACTATGGCTTACTGAGCAGCCACTTTCCTTTAGAGGCAAATCCTAAGTAAGTAATTCCCAACCTTTTATTCTTGTTAAGCCCTGTCCTCTTATACTGCCTTTTTTTTTTTCCTCCTCCATGAAATTTGGGAATAAATTCAAATTTACCTCTTACTACTACTACCATGGGCTATGGGCCACAACATGTTTGTATTTTTGTCCTCCTCTTCCCCTCACTCTTGATGTGATAGCTCAATTTTGTATGTCAGCTCATTTCCTGAATTTCCAGCATGGTGTTTTCCTTTACTCATCCTTCCCCTCTCCACCCTATGTCTTCCTCTCATCTACTGTCAGCAGATTCCTGGTGCTTCTGGTGACACCTTTATCTGAATACTTTTCCTTACCAACACTGCCAACTGACTGCCTGTTGCCACAGAATCTGCAGGGAGCAGCAACCTGCAGCAGCTTCCATAACAGAAGAAATAGCAAAAACATTACTAGGAAAGAAAGAGAGGAATAAAACACAAATTCATTCACCATGAGAGATTAGCAATAACCCTTCCTCAGATCAAACCAGGGTTTGAAGCAACTCTGAAGAAAGGAGTGAAGGCTGGATTGTGAAAGAGGCTGGATTACACCCCAGGTAATCTGCAATTGTAGGGCAGACATCATCTTGGGGGATTTGGCTATGGATAAAAGAAGGTTGGACGTTTGCTTGGTTAGGGCTGGGATTTTTTGTTTAAATCCAGGTCAGAACAGTATTATGGGCAATCACAAAATATATTTATTCTGTACGGAGAGAATAGAATGCTACAACACATTACCTACTTGTTAAACCCAAGGCACAACGCAGCAAATATCACTGTATTAGTACACTGTACTTCATAAAATTTTATATTGGCAAATTCCTGAAACAGGGAATATTGCCTCTTTTCCACTGGCTCAAATAGCAGAAGATACAGATAAGGGAAAGCTGCTAAAGAATGACTATATGGATAACCGCATTTCATCTAGAAGACACTACTTACCTTCAACGCCAGCTATGGTGGCAATCTGAGTTAAAAGGAACATGCAAGGAACTCCGTGCATTTAACATAGAAACTCTTTTTCTTTTTTTTCCCCAGAACCAACTTGAGCTTTAAAGGAAATGATGAGCATTTTGAGAATGTACTGCTGGTGAAACTATACCAACATCAGTCCCAAACCAGTCATGCTCTCTTTACAGAAACAGTAACCATCTGGAGCTCTGTCAGAGCAAAGTGGACTTTGACAGTGGTTCCAGTGGAACCTGAGGAAGACAGATGGCTGTACAATGTTAATTCTGTAGCTTGAGGGAACATGTGTACAGACACTTAAAGCAGAGAGGAAAAAGAAAGAATGCAAATGCTTTAACATTAAACTGAGATTGCCATTGCTGCTCTGCCTGAAAGGGAAAAAAATGCCCATACCAATGGAGAGCACTGCAAGGCAGGAATACTCTTATCCAGCTCACTACCATAACTATCCGTTTATATCTGAGATTAACTTGTGCCAAGCATCCTTGGATAGAAGGGATTTTCAAACAATACAGGTTTACGACACAGTGTTCCATCAAGTAGAAAAGGTAACTTGCCCATCCTGGGCTACTTGGAGTTTGAATCCTGTGCCTACATAAACTACTCTGTAACCTTGTGATTGACAGGGGAAAAATGCTCTCTATGTTCTACCATAGAGTGTATGTAAAAATAAAATGTATTTATTTTTAGTATTTGGCTCTAGATGGAAGTGTGAAGTTAAAAATATCTTCAGGAAAAAGGTTGAAAAAAGTTTAGGGTGCAATATAACCTTAGAGCTGCAAACTTGGGTCTCCACCGAGAACCACCCCTGCCGTGGGCAGTAAGAGCCAACCACCACCTAACTCTCTACTCACCCTTACAGCAGTACATGACAACACAGGGCATATGTCTGATCCACACAGAGCTTTCAAAGAAAATCTAGCATCAGGCAGACACACACTTAAAGACATGAAAACCAACAGCTTAGCGGGGCTTCAAAATGGCACATATGTGAAACATCACCTTCCAGTTACACCGTATGCATAGTACATCTTTAAATACTGACATGGCAATTGAGCAGTCAGGGCTTTGTGAGACATTTCAAATGGATGGTACAGCCCTTGCTCTCTTAGCGTCTTTCACCACTCCGGCCATGCGGTCCCCTCCTAGTGCCAGCCAGGAGGTGAGGGTGTATTTGCCTTCATTTGGTGCTCCTCTCACCATGCTGGAAGCTGTAGCTACTGTTGTTTTTAAAGGTGGGACAAGGAGAGGGCATGCGTCACAAAAAACTCTGCCAGGAAATATCATGGTGACAACAGTTATAACTCAGTAAAAAAAAAAAAAGCTTTTCCTTTCTTGAAAACAAATACCACTATCCATCAGGTGTTCTCGCTTAAAGCAAACTACGGATATAAACCAACATGGAATATCTGACCTATCTTGACCCACAAACGCAACATCCCTCCCCCAGGAAACAAGGCGGCAAAGAAGTCACCAGCACTTTGCTGACTGCATAACTCCATAGTGATTGATCTCTTACAAGTAACACCCATGTGTTATAAACATCAGTGGAAACTTGAGAAACCAGATTCTCTTGTATTTCCATCTCCCCTAGACTCAGTATGGTATTTACAGTAGCTCAGTGAAGACCTGCAATACCATTTTAGAGAGAATACTGAGAGTTTAAGAATTGGTTTTGTTCCAATTTGGCACAAAATGCAAAACATTTTGAAATCCTGCACAAACAGAAAGGATTGTTCTCCACCTAATTCTGGGACAGCCCAACTTAGGAGAATGGTCCAAAACCAAAGTAGATTTCAACAGTCAATGCTACATTTCCTGGACCTGTGAGAGCTATCACAGCTACACGATGGTAAGTCAACCACCACCTTTGTCCACCTGCAGGACCCCACAATGCACAGTGACTGCTGAAGTTCATCAAGTACATTCTCCGTTGCTGATATCTACCTCTGACATTAATACAGTGGGGCTGGTTTGGGTTTGATTTTTGTTTTGTTTTGTTTTGCTTTCTTTAAGGCAAGGCCCTCTGAGTCATCAGAACAAGAAGAAGAAGAGAAGCCAATTTGGGGGTGAGAAAGTAGAGGAAAGAAAGAAAGAATGTACCGTTCACAGACTACTCTCTGTCACTGTCCAGGCTTGTTACAGGCATAGCTTTTAGGCAAACTTCACAGACAGGTAAGTGGAAGAAAGAAACTGCTTTTGACAAATAATCTAGAAGCACATACCATGCACCTTTTTTTTTCCCCTACCAAACAGAACTGTTTAAGTACTGTTTCCAACTGAGCACAAGACCTCAAGCTACCAAAGTTTCCAAAACAGCAGTACAGCATAATTTTCAACAAAACTTAACAAATGCAAAAAAATGCAATGTTCCTTCAAACACTTGAAGGTCCTGAACCCTCTGGAAAAAACCAACACTTCCTTCTTTTATTCTCTGAAGTGACATGATCAATGTTCTGCTAATCTTATACTCCTTAATTAGCTATGCTTGCTTTCCTAGACGTTCCGGTTTTATACCATCTACAGTATGTTTTCCACACATGCACCTCTTTTTGTCAAATACAACTTGTTAATCCTACCCACTACTAGTGGACAGCACAAGAGGATACTGCTCCTCTACTGAAGAATCGACATTTATGTAAAATACCTATAAATCTGGAATTCTTTCAATACACATAAGAAAATAAGTACTCTAATCAGCACTTAATTATTTGCGTGTGCATATAGACATATAAACCCATTATACAGCTATCCATATATTCTTATGTGTTACATACTCCTACATCTATCTTTTACATGCTTGTTTCATCAACAGAACAGGCTGCTCAGAATGCCATTATGGAAAATATTTGTAACAAATATTTTCTCCAGACCCACTCCTTCCATCTTCTTGGCACTGAAGGCTGGAAAACCTTGTCTTGATATGTTAAGGTTTGTATGAATAGCAAACCAGAGAATGCAATTCAAGTTCAACTTCTGATGTAAAATACAAGTTACGTTCAGCTTTTTGTGTATCAAGCCTGAATATGTATTACAAAGATAGGACTAACATTGCAAAGTCAATTTTTGCTAAACTGAAGTCATGCTCAAAAACTTAACATGTACAGAGTCTACTGAAAGTGACAGACTGCACTTTCATTGACATTTAATTTGTTAAGAAAAGATTAACAATTATAATGTTTATGGACAGCAGCATCTGAGCACACACTCATTACAGTGTTTTTATCCAAACCTAAAATTTGGCCCAAAATCTTAATATCCCTGCATCTAAGTGTAGCTTAACACTGTCTTGAAATAAAACTAGGGTAATACATCATACAGAGAGTAACTTATATATTCATTGCCTAAATAAAAAACATTTGAAGTTTTATAACAGGTTACAGTAACATTCACTAGGTTTCTGTAGAAAAAGAACGTTTCTTTCCTACAAACATTTGAAATGGCTCTAAGCTCCACCACAACATGTAAGCACATACCTTTTCATAGCAGAAGAAAACAAACACAATTATATGCAATTTCTAAAAATCACTCACCACCAAACTGAAAACACACAATCATACTAGTGGAAAAATCATTATATAATACTCAGGTTACTTACAGATTTGTTGTCCAGCCTGCAAGATCTCCGCTGTCCATAATAAGGTGATTTCCATCCAAGAGCCCAGGGGGGCTACTAGAGAAGGCAGGTGTCGGAGACTGGGAAGACAGAGAATCCATGCTCCCAGTTGGGGTGTCTTCTCTGGGACAGCTGTGACTGTCAGCTAGAAAAGAGAGCACAAGTCAGAAGGATACTAAAAGAATCTGCTCTTGAGCCAAAGCTGCCGCTGCTTTGGTAACAACGTCCTGAAATACATACAAGAAGAAACCTTACTGTCCCATCTCCACAGGATATTTTGGAGGACAAGCAGTCCTCCAGCATTTCCCCAAAAGGTAACATTGCACAATTTCCCCCATCATTATCATCAGGCTACCTTCACAACACAACATGTTTCCAGTCCCCTTTTCAACATGTGTTTTATGTGGAAGAAATGCTAGGTTTTGGGGGGTTATTGTTAGACAAATTCATCACTTCAGAAAACAAAATAGTTTAGGCCATACACATTTGCACGTCTCTCTAAAAACAAAGTCTCTAAATATAATTTAATGCACATTTGAAGAAACGATTGCTCTCAAGTACCATAGGCACAATCCCACAAAACAATTAAATATAGAAAGGTCAGAATAAGCAGATCTCTAATAAACATGCCATACCTAAGAATGTTACCTTTATTACTCCTTTTTAATGGTGTTACTTCTAAAAGAACTCATTGTATTCTGGTCTACTATTTGGTTTCATAGGCTACTCTTAGAATAGCACTCAGGAAGCAACACATTCAGATGTGATTGCTTAAGGAAACATTAAAGGAACATCATTCCCATCCCATGGACAGTAAAAGTTACCAGTGTGTCACAGCGCTCACTGCAAACCATGTTGACACATCCAGCCAAACAGCACTTTCTCCACTGAAAAGCTAACCTTCACCCACATAGCTTTCCCCTTTAATTTTTTATTTAAACACCAGTTTACATTTTATAAATTCTAAAGGAGGTGTATGAAATAAGGATGATTGCAAACACTAAAGTGTCCAGCACAGCTAAGCCTGCAGTCTCCAATCAGTCCTGTGGCTGTTTTCAGCATATTAATATTTCAGAGTTAATAAGGGTCATTTCCAGCCACCCTTTACAAGGCTCCCGGCATCCTTTCCTTTCCTCCCCTGTCCATCCTACTCCCACTAGCACTCGTGAACATGGCCCCAGCCCTGCTAAATAACACCCCCACAAAAGTCCCTCTAAAGTGCATTACCCACAGCCTTGGTAAAACATTCTGCTCCTTCAGGGGCAAAAGCTGTGGGGAAAAAATGAACAACCAAGTCCTAACACAGCATCAGAACAATATGATCAAAAGCTGTTAAAATATTGTGCTTGCTTGACAAGCTGTGTCTCCTATACGCAGCACATTACAAGATGAAGTCCCGTACAATATTACTTTCTAATTCTAAATGAATTAGTACCTGCACAGTGAACAACTGAGCCTAATTCTACTCCATCAAGCTAAGCAGTACTGTTGCAATGATTTCTTTCATTTATTATTTTTTTCTTAATTAATTAAAAACGCAACAACAACGAAATGTGGACAATGAAAAGCCATCTTCGCTGGATAAAATCCTTCTCACAACTTTATTACTGCCTCAATCAGACCAATTCCTTCTGCTTCAAAAGCAGAAAGCTAACAAAGCATTTGCCTGCTTCCCCAGCCATCTCATCTTCACCCCTCCCAGAAACTCTCAGAGAACAACTTCCCTAGAGAGTAAAATGACACCGAAATGATAAAAGTGATCATCTGGAAATTTCTCCCTAAAGCAGTTGCTAATTTAGGAATCTCAATTAGCCTGTAGTAACAAAGTATGATGAGCTCTGTGGAGGAGAACGTTAACCTGGGAAAGTGAGTCACTCGCACTCCAGCCCAATCCTGCTCACCTCACACCTCCTTGCTGCACCCAGGCCACGATGCTGCTGCTCACGTTTACGTGACATGACACGAGAACCGTAGGAGTGCCAGGTAAAAACTAATTAATTACATCTCATTTGCAGACGTATATGTCACAATGATAAAGATCTGAGAGATTAGATTGTAATACTGCAATTTTACTTTATAAAGAAACTGAATTCCTTAAAACTAAATAAACTTAAGTCCTTTTAATTCATCACAATTTCTTTTCGAAGTAGTATTATTAATGCAACCTAGATTATCAAACTACATACACCATATTAGAAGAACACGTTTACCTCAACCATTAACTTAACATTACTAAAACAGCAGTAGAAAGGAATATTAATCTGTTCTTCGATATTATGAATACGGCCATCTCACCGCACCTCCCTACAGAAAGCAGAGGTTTTTCTGTTGAATCATTTCTCAAAGCACAGGAAAACTAAAAAAGTACTAAACACTTCAGTCATGCACAGTAGGGTCTACATTGGAGACTGCAGTATACAGGCAATTGCATTTGACATTATCATAAACGAAACTGTGTGTTAAATCTTTCCTCAAATTTTACTTCTTCCTTCCTGAGCCAGTGTTTTCTCACAGTCAATAATCATTGCACTCTCAAGAATAAGACTGGGTTTTGAACACCAAAACCAAATCAGGTATTTAAACAGGAAAACACTAGCTAAATTCTACGGGATTAAGTGAAAACCCTTTAAAAACAAGTTTAAGTATACTTTACATTTTTGATGTTTTCAATTATCTGTTTTTGTAAAGTAAAACAATACCTTTATTCAGGAAAAGGCAAATATGTATAACTGCAAAAACAGATGACTAGTGATCATCTAAGCACATTTTCATTATTAAAACCAAGATATACTCAAAACCTAAGTCTTTGAAATATAGTATCATTGCTCTAATTTCAACAGTAATAAGATTTTACCATGTATGTCAGTGATAAAAAGTTCTGCTAACTTCAGAAATTATAGAAATTCCTGTACATGGCAGACGCCTTAAAATTGTACCTAGTTATCTCTCTATTAAGCTTAATAACCTGCTTTTGATTAATGCCCATCTCCTGTTGGGCCAAACTGTATCTTTCACAGAGTCTTTGTCTGAGGACATCAGCAGATGTTAAAGGTAACGGAGAATCAGTCGGCTGCCAATCAAGGTACTTCACTTCGTTCGGCTTTATTTTCAGGCATGACCCATGTAATATGCGTTGCTAATAATTACAGTATCTCTCATATCCAGCTTTTGTGCTGTGTGAAGATATTTCAATGATCTCCTTTATAAATTTAACACTAAATCCCTTACTGTAAGGGATTTTGCAGTCTTTGAATCAGGCACCATTTTACAAACCTGTTCCAATTTCCCAGAGTTCTTTCTGAATAGCGTACATCAGATCTGAATTCATGATTTTTTTGTTGTGGTCCCACGAGTGCCAGGTTGAGCCTTAATTCCACCACTTACTCTTATTCATCAATCCCCTGTTTGTACATCCGAGGTTGGCACATTTTTGCCGTGGCTGGCTTTAATTTAATAGTTTATGAAAAGCTGACAGCCCACTGTGACTAAGAGACTTAGCAGAGTCCTCCAGTCCTCCATTCTGTAGCTATGGGCTATGTTTTTCCTCTAAAATCTGTAAATTTATTTCTCAATATGACCAAGCATATTGTTTGACTGGGTGCAGTTTAGCACATGACCACAACTCCTACATAACTGCCACTGTCATTATTTGCAATTCCTCCTAACTTTGTCCCATATGTAAATATATCATCAAGGATTTGTATTTACATTTCTAAATATTGCTACGGCACTAGCATTCCTCCCGTTTCTTCAAATTTCTTCAGCATGCGAGAAGATGTTTTAAAAATTAACATTGCCAATCCATGTAACCCCATGACCAGAGAACTTTATTAGGACAAGTTAGACAGCTTCCCATTATTCAAAATATTCACCTTGCAACAGGCCTACCTGTGAAGATTTCTGCTTGATCCTGCCGATTATAAATCCCACAGAGATTTTCATAGCTAAGTTCTTTCTAACATATCTTCAAAACTTGTAACATATATTGACTGCTAGCAATTTCCTCTTCCCTCCCCCCCCTCCCCTTTTCCTGTATTTTGTTTTGTGGAGCCAGTAAAGATCCTAAACTGCTGGAGATTAAAAAGCCTTTCAGTTTCGACACTTTGTTTGTTAAAGAGTGTGTTAAGGACATTGCTGAAATTGAGTCAGCTTTATGGTTTTCATTTCACCTCAGAATTCAGGGGCTCCCTGATACTGATAGTCCAATATTTTTAGTGTTTCTCTCCTCTCACCCCTCTTTACCTCCAACATTGCTCTCCAGTGAGCAGCATTGTCAGGTTTCCCACTTCTATGAAAAGGCTGACTGCCACATCGGACTGACAGCTCCTTTCGAAGAGGAGCTCCAGAAACTTCCTATTCTTCTTTTCTACCACTTGAATTTCAATGAGCTCTTACAGTACAAAATAGGGAAGATGTGATTTCTTTTAAAGCTCATTTTTATCATTCTTTGAGCATACAGTTTGGTGTTCTTGGTGCCTTCATTTTCTCTTCCTAAAAAAGTCAATCCCCCTCCCTTTTCTCTCCCATTATGCACTTCTCATTGGATGCCAAAGAGTGCCAAAAGAGATGAAGGACATGAGGGTTCTCAGTATAAAAGCACTAAGTCTGTATGATGTCTCACAAACTTTTGTCAACACTCCAGCCATCAACTCTACACTTTTTCTTCTTTATATTTGTAGGAAGCCTCTGAGTGCCTTTGGCCTTCAGCTTGGCCATCTGTCTAGATAGCCACAAAACTGCTTCTACAATTCATCTCCTCTTCCTACGCAAATAGGTGTAATATCCAATTTTACTCTCAACAGAGTTAAAACTTGTTTCACATTCTCACCACCTTTTGCATACTATTTAAATTTTTTGACTGCTCAGATCCTTTTAAATTGTCATCTAAATTATCTTTTTGTTTCACTGTTCTAATCACAACACTCATCCAAGCCTTAGAACTTGCACTGTGCCTCTGCAACAGATACCCGTGCTTTACCTTTACGGCTGTTCATAGTTCAGACCAGCCCTGGAAAATAAAGATAGCTTAGGCTGATCCTAACCATTTACTGGTTGTGTCCAGCTGGTACTACCTACCATTTGGTTTCTAACTTAAATATCTTTCCTCCATCCCCTTTCCCGTTGCCTTGTGTCACCCCTTCTCAT